AAGTTTAAAATATATATTATATATTATATATCGTTTTTTTTTTTTTTTTTTTTTTTTTTTTGGCCCGCCGGGCAAGTGACCCCGGGCCACTCTGGTAGCCGAGAATGAAAAAAAAAACAATAACAATGGTGGCCTGAAGTCGGTCATTTTTTTTCTCCTGATGCCAGGTTCCTCAGCATTTCCTGCATCCGATTTCATGTCGATTCCGATGGCTCTCGGTGTCAATGGTGTGAAGGACTCTGAAGACACAAGAATACTAACGTTTGGGAAGGGCCCTGTCGTCGCTGTCCATCGACAGAAATGTCACTCAGGGAGCTTTTCGACCGACGACTAACTACACAACAGTGATCATGCTTGGAAGTCGGGACGCTACCTCAGAGACAGAATTGGACTGAAGACCTATGGCATACGGTGGGCAAAGCGAGAGATCTTTCCACCAGGTATACTTGAAAAATCAGGTCAAGACTCAAGAATGGTGGTGATGACAGACTGAGTATCAAAAGTCTGGGCTCCTTGCTTTGTTAAAACAAACAAGCCAAAAAAAAAGTATGGGCTCCTGGTAATGGTTGGCACGATACTTGGGACAATACTGCAATCAGCTCAAGAATGGGAAGGAGTTTTAAGTTGGGGTTCCAAGTCACTGTGTTCAGATAAGGCAAAAGCTCAGACAAGAAGATCAGACAAAAGCTCAGACAAGAAGATCTTGCCCTCACCGCTCTCCCCTTCCCCCCTCCCCCCTTGCCCTCCCCCCTCCCCCAAAACACCCCATTTTACTGTTGGGAACATGCAGTGGGGGGGGGGTTGTGGACTTTACAAGGGTGAGGATTTGAGAGCAGCAAGATCAGGGTTGCTTCTATAACTTCTCCTCTCCCTCTTCCCCCCTCCCCTCTCCACAAACACCCCATTTTACTGTTGGGATAATGCAGTGGTGGTGGGGGGAGGGGGGGGGAGGGGGTGCGGTCATACCAAGGTTGAGGATTTGGGATGTCTGATGGGTACAACCGACGGCAGTGTCGATGATCGTCGACTTCGTCAAAATGAAGTATCCACTCTTTGGAGAGGTTTGGAGATCTTATCATCCCCGATTGTCGAATTTCGAGACGAGAGTTAATTTTACTCATCTGTATCCCGCGGCGAAGTTCGAACTCAGGTCTGTCTTTCAACAGTTCAGTTCCGGGGTGTGTACCAGCTGAGCTAGGCCAGTTGGCGTAGGAGAGTTGAGTTTTTTCAAAGGGCAACAGCCTTGAGATATCATCAGATTCGTCACTGAACTGACCGGCCCTAGGTAATTCAGAATCACTGTAGTAAGTATTTCACTCAATGACATCTGGAGTTCGAACTCAGGTCTGAGTTTCCACTTTCAACAGCTCAGGAGAGTAACTTGTTTGGCTGAAGGCTTGAAGCAGTACTTTTTTGGGAGAGGAAAGCTGATTATGCAACGACCATGAGCTCAAACATCCACATAAAATCTCTTCAATGTGGAGACAGCAGATGAGGGCAGTTTTTTGTGTGGGAACCTCCTTTTGCCAGCAATCCAAGAACTCCGCGAAAAGCAAAAAACTTAAGGTCTCTCAAATTTCATGAGTTGCAAAATGCGATGAGCATTAATCATCATCCTCAGCACGAACACAACAAAACTATATCCGCTGAGCTTCATGCCTACGATTGATTTTTGTGGTATTTCGCTCATCTGCTTTCTGCTGGGGTTCGAACTCAGGTCTGCATTTCAAGAGTTCAGTGATGTACCAACTGAGCTAGGCCAGCTTGTATGCTATGATTGATTTGTGATGATTGGCTGTGATGACAACCAAAAACCATCTATCTGTGCACTACCAAATTACCAATGGCATTGCAGACTTGAGCTTTATCGTCGAGCTTCATCATGGAGCTTCATGCCTGTGATGAATTTTTATTGCTGGTGAGTGAGACTCAGCTCAGATTCAGCCACAGCCAGTTGCCTGCAGCCTACTCCCACACATATGCCCCCCACCAAACACCCACTGTCATCTTGAAGCTTGACGGCAAGCGAAGACTCATGATGATAGATAATTTATTAATTTCTGAGACACCCACTGGCTCAGAAGTCATCTATCATCATCAGAAGTTAGCTCTGCAGTGGTAATCTTGTATCAGAAGTTAACCTATCATCATGATGATGATGAGATCCTCTGTGCAGAAGCCAGTGGATCATCAAGAGGGGTGAGGGAGGAGGAAAGGAGGCAAGGGACACAACAACAGTGGTAGGGATTGGAGCAGCTTGGCAGTGGTAATCGAGCAGAGCAGGCGGTGGTAATCGACAAGAGGGGTCTGCTCCATGGGACAGACTGCCAAAAATCCCACAAACTTCCACCTAAAATGTGTCCAGATCCGATTCGGTGATATGTACAGAGCCTCCATGCAGTTTGGTGAGGGAAGGTGGGCATTCTGGTGGACTTCCGATCCGAACCAGCAACCAGCAAGGCCTTTCCGCGCAACACCCTCACGCATTGGGCCCCTCCGCACAAGCTACCCACCCATCCAAACTGGCCCAGAACAGCCACCCAAAGTCAGTGTGGTGGCGCCAGTCACCCAAGCCGGCCAAAGTAGTCAGTCGCCCAAAAAAACTGGCAAATGCCCTGCCACTCAAGTGGGTGGCAAGAAACAGTCGCCCAGACCAGCCAAAGCGGTCACCCCATCTGGCCGAGCTAGTCGCCCAGACTCTCCGAAGCGGTCACCCACTCCGGCCGTGCTAGTCGCCCAAACTGTCCTGTCACACAATCCTGTGACGACGTGCACTGCCGAAGCGCACTAAGCCAAGTCAGTCGCACAGCAGCTGCCGTTCCGAAATCCAGACTCCCAGCTCGCTCTTTCGAAATACGACTCAGGCAGGCCCGAAGCCAAGGGAGCGTCATAGAGGTCCTGGAGTAGTTTGCTCCAACTCTGCCACACCATCTCAAGCAGGCCCCAAGCACCGAGCCCAGTCAGTCACCCAGCCTGGCCAAAGCGGGGTCACCCAGTCCGGCGGAACTACCGTAGTAGTCGCCCAAACTGTTCAGGCACACAGTCCTGCAAAAAACCAGTTGAAGATATGCACTGAGCCGAAGCACTGAGCCAAGCCTAGTCACCCCCAAGCTGGCCAAAGTAGTCACCCCCAAGCTGGCCCTATTGGCAGCAACTGCTGCCAGGCGGGGGTGGGACAACCGAGGCCAGCATTTCTCACAAACATCATCACAATAAACCTTATCATCCCAGGTGTTCTTTCTTTTATTTTACTATATATCTTTTCTGATGCCAGGCCTTCTTAATGTTCAACTTCTCCAAGTGAAGTTTAATGAACTCCTATGATCCACTGACATCCACCCCTCAGGCCTCAGGCCTTATCTCATAAATTAACTTCAGACCTGAACCAAAAAGTCCTGTGATGAATCCCTAGTATGTCCAACGGGAGGCCCCCCAGGGAGAACCGCCCACCAAAAAGCCCCAACCCAGAAGCCTGATGAAGTAGATGAACAGATTGACAGACTGACAGATGCCTTAAGTACTGACTGCTACAGTCATTGACTTGTCGATATATTTCAAGTCACAAATTGGCTGATGACCTTGAAGATAGTGACATATGCTGGTTGTTATTGTCGAACTGGTCACTCTTTGATAGTTGATCGATCTCCTCGATCGATTGATAAACAGATTAAGCACCGTATTAAGTACTACTTTGTTTTTTGTTTTTTTTTAACAGTTAACGACAGTCCTCCGCTATGTGCGCTGAATCGAAAACTTTCCGATGAATAGATCGATAGGTAGATAGATTGACCGACTGCGTTCATCCTGGCCGTTTATTATCTGTTATTATTTCCATTTTTTATTGCGCAAATTTTAAGGTTTCGGGGACAGGCCGATACACAAAAAAGTGCAGTGCACTTATTACTGTAATTGTGGGTCAGATGGAGGGGGGGGCATTCTTGGCATTCTTGGCATTTTTTTTCTTGCATCCTTATGGATGGAATTGGAATTGGAATCATGCTATCCAATTTCAGATTTTGCCCAATGAGGAAGGAGGGAATGGTTTTCGAGGAGGACGGAGAAAGTTGGTCGGCATCAAGCTCGGTTTGGGAGTCTTGTTAGGGTGTTGTGCTTTGACGATAGGCAGTTGCATGATGTTCTGGTACGAATGGGTGGCTGACAAGCTCGTTACAATGAGCAGTCTGACGACTCCCGCAAGCGGCACACTTGCATCGAAGTCCTCGTTTCCGGACAGCTTCATCTTTGGAGTGGCAACGTCAGCCTTCCTGGTGGAAGGAGGGCGGCAGGGAGAGGATGGCAAAGGGATGAGCATATGGGACAGGTGGGACTCCTTCTCCAGAGTACCTCAGGGACGCTCACTCAGCAATCAGGATCATGGCGGCGGCACCCCTCTTCTTCTTCCCACCCCCGATCATTACAGCCGATACAAGGAGGATGTGGCACTTATGTCCGACATGGGAGTATCAGCCTACCGCTTCTCGATCTCGTGGTCTCGAGTGTTCCCCGACGGGACCGGTCGGATGAACGATGCAGGGATCGACTTTTACAGCAAACTTGTAGACGAGTTGATTGCTCAGGGAATCGATCCCTACGTCACTCTGTTCGATTGGGACATGCCGGCCCGGCTGCATGACGTTTACGACGGCTGGCTGGATGACAGAATGATCGAGGACTTCGCCGTCTTTGCGCAGACCTGTTTTGCGGCATTAGGAGATCGTGTGAAAGCCTGGATTACTTTTGACCAGCCGGTGTTGTTCGCTGCTCTCGGTTATGGGATTGGAACCCACCCCCCTGGGCGTTGCTCCGATCGCTCTCGCTGCGGGGAAGGCAAGTCGTCGATCGAACCGTACATAGTGATACACAACATCTTGAGGGCTCACGGCGCCGTTGTCACCCTGTACCGGTCCAACTTCCAGCACCACCAAGGAGGAAGAATAGGCATATATCTCGGTGCGCTATGGGCAGAGCCGATGTCTGTGGAAACACCACATGATGCAGCAGCTGCAGATCGATACCTGGCGTTCACGTTCGGGTGGTTGATGGATGTACTTGCACACGGAGATTATCCCGATCAGATGAGACGACAGCTTTCGAACCGACTGCCAACCTTCACCCCCGAAGAGAAGAACCAACTGCTACACTCCTTCGACTTCCTCGGGATCACCTACCTGGCTTCCGGCAACATAGAGAGCTGGTCGCGATCCCGATCTACCCTAGCAGACAGTGGCATCAATCCGACGGTGCTGCACTGCAGAGCCGTGAAGAAGGACGACGATGCGCCGGGGATATGCAGCAGCCTGCACTTCCACCTGCTCACAGTCCTGCTTCGCACAAAGGAGACTGACATCGTGCCCGACCCCCTTGGACGACCCCCCAGGTTCCTCCTCACTGCTGCCCCTTCGGGCCTTCATAAGCTACTCGTTTGGGTCAAGGATCGCTACAGCTCCCCTGCCATCTACGTCACCGTCGGTGTGACTGGGGAGGAGCATTCCTCCTCCTCGTCGCAGCAAAGTGCAGCGAGAACGCAATTGGCAGAAGAGAGAGCCTCTCTCTGGGACATTAAACGGGTGCAATTTTTTGACAACGTCCTCATGAGTGCGGCAGAGGCGTTTAGAGATGGAGTAGACATCCGAGGGGTGTTCGCTTGGTCGCTTCTCGACATATCTGAGCAAGTGCATGGATTTGGATGTCGCTCAGGACTGCACCACATCTACTTCGAACACAATGATCGACGCCGAGTACCTAAGCTGTCTGCTAAGTGGTGGGGGCAGTTCCTTCGAGGAGAAAACTCCCCGTCTTCACCTAAATAGAACGCCCAATTAAAAAAAAGAAGAAAAAAAAAAGAACGGGCCGGTCATGGATTCAATATTGTCGGATAATATTCGTTGCAGCTTTTGCTCGCAGTGGTGTCCGATGGATCGCAGTGCAAAAAAAAGGATTTCTCTCTGCTTTACCATCTCAAGACTGAGGTTTTTGTTGAAATGGAGTTCAACTTGGTGATGTTTTCGAAAAACGCAGTGGATTTTGTCGATTGTCAGTTCCAAAAAAAGACGGGGGAAAAAAGAAGAAGAAAAAAAAAAGGAACGCTTGGTCATGATTACTGCATCTGGACTGAAAGTTTGCCACGAATAGAGCTGAGCTATAAACAACCGGGGAGGTTCCATTCGGGTGAATACGGGTAGTATTCAAGAGGCCATAATCGTCGTACTCATCATTGCAACTGCATGATCCTGATTCCTGACTGTGAGTGCGAACTGCAGCCTCTCTCTCTCTCTCTCTCTCTCTCTCTCTCTCTCTCTCTCTCTCTCTCTCTCTCTCTCTCTCTCTCTCTCTCT